CTCTCCTGGCAAGAATAAACGATCTTAACGTATGGACACATATGGTAACGTGGTAGATACACACACACACCTGCGCACATACACATACACACAAAGCTAACTATATATAATACGGAACATTGAACAATATCACGGCAAGTAAATAAATGTACATTGTTGATTACTTTATAATTTGTGCAAATTGTTACATTTCCATTTATTTTTTTAATTTTATTTTTTATCGGATTAAAATAATTACGATATAATATTAGAATATTCTTTTTTCTTTTGTCGTAACATTATTTTAATCTGACTTAAATGTGGCAAATTAAAATTAGTTCTCGTAACATTAAATATGTATATAGAAATGTTGTTGTCATTTGTATAGAAAAATGCAAATGTATGAAAAATGCAATTTCAATTAGAATTGTAAAAAATGCAATTTCAATCGTACTATTTTATCAATGATGACGCACAAAATGATTTATCACGTTTACATTTTCATTGTTCTACCTGCGAATAAATCCGAGTTATATTCGCGTTTGAACATTTTACGAGCTTTACCTCCTGTTCGCAAATTTTCATTGTTGCATCGTGTATTCGTGTAAACGAATAAGAATGTAAATTTCTATTATCTCATTGGAATCAATCTGTGCAGTTGGCGATACAGATTTTTTTTCCCTTTTTTTTTCTTTTTTGTAACATTTATACCAATAGTTCAATATCCGTTTCGATTCGTTGTTTCTTTTTGGTCTTTATTTCTATTTACTATTGCATTGAATAAACCTCGAAGTTATACAGCTTAACGATGATTAATCAATGTATTTATCAATAATAAAAAAATCAATGTAATTATCGACATATTTTGGTACTTATGTTAAACAACGAACAAATATTTTTCTCATCTATTAGGTGCTTTTAAAATATCAATTGTTACATATGATATTTTATTTATTACACGTATTCACTCGAACGAATAAATATTTTAAATATAATAAATTATTCAATAAAAGTATTTTCATTTCTTTTTTTCAATGATAAATAAAAGATGATTTTCTCATATGTAAGGATTTAAGTAATACGAATAGTCAGACGTTTATTACGTATCATTCATTTCTAAGTAGTAAGCGCCAGCATTCTCGTAAATGGTCACACATTAAGTAGTAACAGTTAGGTCTCGTATACGATCAGACATTAAGTAGTACGAGTCAAGCCCTTATATGATCAGAAATTAAGTAGTAAGAGTTAGACCTCGTGTATGATCAAACATCAAGTAGTACGAGTCAAGCCCTTATATAATCAGAAATTAAGTAGTAAGAGTTAGACCTCGTGTATGATCAAACATCAAGTAGTACGAGTCAAGCCCGTATATGATCAGACATTAATAAATGAAATTATTTTTTAGATAAACCAATACTTTTCCATTGCGTTTGAAATCGTACGCGATCTAAATTCGATCTATGAAGTAAGATTAATGAAAAAAAAAGAAAATACAGGAAAAAGATAGAAAAAGATAAAAATAGAAATAGTAGAAAGTAAAGCTCGCAACTATCAGGAAGAAGACACTTTATTGATGAAAAAAATCTCTTGGATTTAATACCGGCTTCTTAATACTCTTAAGAAAAAGCTACTGCTTTTAGGAGATAGACTGGATTTCGCGTTCGAAATAGAAAAGCTTTTTATTCCTTCGAGTATCTCGCCATTTCGTAAATAGAACGAAAGATCTTGGTCGTCTAGCTCATTTTCCTTTTCTTTTCTTTTTTTTTTTTTCTTATCTTTCTTCCTTCCTTTTTCTTTGCGAACAAATTTCAAAAGTAATTGACTTTTATTTTGTTTTCCTCGTTATTTATTTCTTTCTTTTCTTTTTTTCTTATCAACAGAAAAAGATCCTCATCAACGAATATAAATATAGTTCGCGGTATTAAAAAATATATTACTCGAAATAACTTTCAATTAAAATTGACTTTTATTCTATATTTTCTATAATCTTCTTCTTCTTCTTCTTTTTTTTTCGTTAAATTCTTATCAACCGTGATATTGAAAAATATTATATGAAATATTTTCTAATTGAAAGAAGAATGGTACGAGAGGATGGTACAAAAAAAAAAAGGAAAAAAAAAAAGAAAAACCTATTGAAATAGCTATAGGCAAAAGGTGTAGTAGGAGGAATATTAAATTGCACGTTCATCGATCTTGAAACGGTCAACAACAATCGGGTTGGGGGTAACGCGATTGGTGCGTGTTAAATGCGTGAACCACCATCACCGAACGAATCTTTAATCGTTACAAAACGTTTGACTCACCGTGCGTCACGCGAGCTTGCGCATCTTGCAAGCTGAAGCTTTTGTGCAGGTTACACACTACTACGTGATGCTGATATACGAGTTGCAATTTATGCAATGACGTCAGCGTCAATCCCAACCTGTAGCTTCGATCGGGATTACGTTGCCGATGTTCAATACCAGACAAATTGTATACGAGAATATGTGTGTGTGTACGTATATGTTTATGTGTGCGTACAGGCATGTGGTTTGCTAGCGTGTGCGTCACTACAATTCGATTTTCGTCGGAACATTTCATTATCGTTAAACGACTCTGGCTCGTATAAACGGAAATTTTGGTAGAAAGGTTAGGGTACACGAGAGATATCGTGTATGGGTATCGTTTAATTGGATTCTATGATAGACAAAATTAACTAATATCTTTGTGCATTCAACTATTTGTGAAGAAAACTTTCAATTAAAATATACTAAAATAATACATTCACGTTGAAACGATGAATGAATGATAACACGGAAAATATTTCATAGTTAAAGTCGTTCAGGTACTTTATGAGATTCAAAAGCTTTACCCAAACATTTTCCGCATACTTTTGGATCTCTCTCTTTCTCTCTTCTTTTTTTTATTTTATTTTTATTTTCTCTCTTTCTAAGCTCACCTCAACAGACAACCATCGTACTCTCTTGAACTCACGTTTGCTGTTGGTATAATAAATGTAGTAGACGTTTAACGATGACGTGTAAGACGTAGGTTGCTTTCGGATACTTGTCCCATGTGAATTTTGGCTAAAAAAAGTTCAAACGATATATTTACACTTGAAAGAGAAAGAAAGAAAGAAATAGGGACACGTTCGCAGACACATTTAACTCTTTCAGAAAATCCAATTTCTAACGTGACCGTTCTCGTTTCTTCGTTTTTATTGCAAGAAAAAAAAATTGTAACTTTGATTAACCGAAATTCTTTTATATAATATCTTTTACCCATATATCTACCTTTTTATATATACATAGATTCTTATATATTCTATTTGTATTCATACCATATATCTACTAGTTATCGTAGTAAAATTTGATTGACATAAACACGCGCTAACACTTAGAAATTTATGAGAATAGATGAAAATTTCCGTTTCCTTTTTCACCGTCTAAATTTGATCTTTTCTTTCATAACTGTTCGTTTAAACTTTGGCAATGTTTCCAACGCTATTTATAGATATTTCTACGTATAACATTAGATCACATATACGATTTCAAATAATATTTCAATATATATAAATATAATATTACATTTGAAATATTTGTTTGAATTGTAATTTAAATGTAAATATTAGGTTGCCAATATAAGATATATGATTTAAATCATTATTTGATATATATATATAATATTAAATTTGAAATATTTGTTTTTGAATTTAATTAAAATGTAAATATTACATTCCTATCAAAACATAATAATTCTATATATTTTAACCTTTAACAAACCTTTAACAAACGAATTTTAATTAACTATCATACTTCAACTTACAAAATTTTAAGTATCAGATTTCAAATACTACAATGACGTGTCAATTTTGATTTAAAATACTACAATGACGTGTTAATTTTGATTTTGAATACTACAATGACGCTTGTTAATATAATTTTTGATTCGTAATAATTACCAATAACGACCTAGCGATATATTTGAAACAGAGCGCCGGAAATCGATGGTGCCTGAGAGACACACTTGGAGCGTTAAGGGTTAAAAATGATTTTTAAGATTACATGTAAACCATTAAAAATATAGAATAGGAAGTTTGAGGTTTATAAACTAAACTATATAATATATATAATATAATAATAAATTTATATAAAATATTTGTTAAAATACAAGTGAAATATAAATATCAGATTTCTATCAAAACTTAATAATTCTATATATTTGCAAAATAATTTTCAAGTTTCGACGTAAACCATTAAAGACATAGAATAGAAGGTTTGAGGTTTATAAACTAAACTATATAATATATGTAGGGAAATCAATTGTTCTGTATCCGGCTAAGGATATCTAATTCCCCCGTGTTGCCGACACTACTTGAGATATAAAATATACTCTTTATTCTCACAAATTATTGCTTATTACAATTACAATTACCATTACAATTACAATTACAATAACGCTTCGCAACTTCTCGCACTYACTCASWMCTCACAGAATCACTACTCACTCGCTACTCTCTACTCGCTATTCTCACTCGCTCTCGTCACTCAGTTCTCTCCACGCTACTCTCTCGAAAAACAAAAACCCCGATGCGTGACCGTCCTCTCCTTATAAGGTTTCTTTCCCACCCCGCATGTTTCAAACGCACTCGGACCTTTGGACCCACACCGACTAACACACACAACATGTCGAACCTTAGGACCCACACCGACCTACACACACAACCTCTCGGACCTTTGGACTCACACAGACTTACACACACAACCCCTCGGACCTTTGGACTCACACAGACCTACACACACAACCTCCTCGGACCTTTGGACTCACACAGACTTACACACACAACCTCTTCGATTTTCAACACACCCCACATATATATAATATAATAATAAATTTAAAATATTTGTTAAAATGCAATTGAAATATTTCTATGAAAATTGAATATTCCTATATATTTGAACAATGATCGGTTAAGATAAAACGTAATAGATATATAATAGAAAGTTTGAGATTTATAGTTTGACACGTGTGTGAGTTTTCAGGTGGCATCGGATCGACGACTGGGGGTGCAATCGACCGTTTAAGTTGCGGTTCAGCTTCCGCATTGGGCTACGACGTCGTCGATAAATACAGGGATGGTGGTATCGTCGAGACACCTGGAGGAGGAAGAAGAGGAGGACCTGGAGGAATGGGAATGGGGGGAATGGGAGGAATGGGAATGGGTATGGGTGGTGGAAGATTGGTATTAGGTGGTAGAGAAAGGGAAGATGACACGAAAAGCGCGAAAAGTGCTGAAAGCATCTCCAGAGGGGTCCTACATTCGAGACAAAGCCTTTTGGATCTTGTTAGCCATAAAATCATGGGCAGACATACGCCCACTCATAATTATCAGGTTCAGCAGGTTTGTTTTCTTCTTATCTAATTGGCTTTGTTTTAAAATTATTCGTGATATATCGTGTGACAAAATATTCGTGATCAAGCTCTTGCACGCGAGATACAAACACAACCAATTCTAAGCGTCTTTATCGTTTATTTTTCTTCTTTTTTTTTGTCTCTTTTTCCAAACGTATATTGGAGCTTCTTTTTTATTCTGGTTTTTCTCTTCCTTCTTCTTCTTCCTCTAAGAAATTTCAATGAAAATAATGAATATTGAACGAATGATAAAAAAAAAAAAAAAGAAAAAACAAAAGTAATCGATGTTGACGCTAGCGTTGGCTTGATTCTCGCGAGTGGTAGCAGCTTAGTGCTTCGTCCAGGTATACTCTGTGTCGCAGCGATACTTTGGTTCGTCCCGAGATTCCCTTCAGGGTGGATACGTTAATCGAGGTGCTAGCGAATTGGATCTCAGTCGAAAAACAAGAAGGAGGGACCAGCAAAGGAGTAGAATTAAGTTGCCCTATGCGGTAGGTGCAACCCCGTCTCGCGATCATTCGCAACTTCATCCACCGGCCTCCATCAATCATCTCAGTAATGCAAGCTGCAATGGTACCGAAACGTGAGTGTATCATTGGGTACTTAAATTCCTTTTTATCTTCATTTATAATACATTTAATACATTTTTTTTATATCATTTGTATTTTTGTTGGTATTCTTAGAAGGTATACAGCCCAACAGCAGCGACAACAACGAGGTAGTCGTGGTTTTCCTAGTCATGCCGGAACCAAAGGTTTCCGTACAGGTGCACCCAATTGGTCATTCATCTTCGACCCAGCGGGACGACTTTGTTATTATTGGTCAATGGTGGTTTCCCTAGCCTTCCTTTACAACTTTTGGGTCATCATCTATAGGTTTGCCTTCCAGGAAATAAACGGTCAGTGAAACTTATGACATTTTTATATTTAAATTATCCTATCCTATTATCGTATACTTTTGACTAAATCTATAAATAGAATTTTTGTTCGAACTTCATATTCGTGTCCCTTTTTTTTACACACTAATACACACGTAAATTGTTTCAATATATATTTTTACCTTAATCATTTTTACACGCTTAGGCGATACCCGCTGGATTTGGTTCTGCCTGGACTATTTCTCGGATTTTTTATACGTTCTGGATATAATATTTCATGTAAGAACGGGATATTTGGAGGATGGCGTTTTACAAACTGACGCGACCAAGTTACGGAATCATTATACGAACAGCACTACGTTTTACATAGACATACTGTGCCTGCTGCCCCTCGACTTTTTATACTTATCTATAGGATTCAACAGTATGCTGAGAAGTTTTAGACTCGTTAAAATTTACCGGTTAGTCCAACTTCATTTTTGTATTAAACACCCCTTGTATTTCTTTTTTCTCTTTTTTTTCTTCTTCCTCTTCCTAACACCAAAATCTTTTCCTCATTCTCCCCCCTACCCTTGGCTTCTTTAACCCATTTGCATCCATTAGTGTACGCGTGTTATACATGCTCCATTTTCTTCTTAACTATCCACCGTGAGATGTATACGTGATCAACCTTTTTTTTTTGCTTCTAAAATGAACTAAAAGATTAATATATCTACGAGAATTTTTGCTCGTTTAGGGTTTAGAAATTTTAAAATGGTATCAAAATGAAGTTATTAAAATATATAAGTAATATAATTCTGAGATAATAATTTTCAAAAGTAATCGTACAATGTACTATCAATTAAATTATTAATAATGTTAATTTAATTATTCTTTATAATATGCAAATGGGTTAATATTTTCTATATATGTATATATTGAGTTATTTTTCTTATCAATCCAGCAACTACCAATAAATCCACTTGTTCGGATAAATAATGATTAAGTGATCACAGATTTCTGTCGTGTTCTCGATCGGTTTGACACAGGTTCTGGGCGTTCATGGACAGGACCGAACGACACACGAATTATCCGAATTTATTTCGTTCCACCTCGTTGATACATTATTTGCTGGTGATCTTTCACTGGAACGGGTGCCTCTATCACATTATTTATAAGAACAACGGTTTCGGCAGTAAGAATTGGGTATACAACGATTCCGAAACCGCTGACGTTGTTAAACAGTATCTACAAAGTTACTATTGGTGCACGTTGGCACTAACCACCATTGGCGATTTACCCAGGTAATTAATGAGAATATAAACAAACAAAATCACATTTTTTTTCTTCTTCTTCTTCTTCTTCTTCTTCTACGAGATAAATAAATAAAGAAAGAGAGAAAGAACAAATGTGACGAATTTTCTTTCTTCTTTTTCGTGCGTCGACCACTCTACCCTTACCCCCACCCTAACTCTCATTCTTACCCTTACTGTATCTACTGACCCACTGAAACGTCAAACATGAGAGAGTGAGAAAGAGATAACAAGGTTTGTTTACTTTACGTGCGTGACTTTGTTTTGTTTTGTTTTTCTAGGCCAAGAAGCAAGGGCGAGTATCTCTTCGTAATAGCTCAGCTGCTTTTTGGTTTACTCCTATTCGCCACCGTACTGGGACACGTGGCTAACATCGTAACTTCGGTCAGCGCGGCACGAAAAGAATTTCAAGGTTAGTCGATGAATATTAAAGCTTGTATAAACCTCCCCCGAACTCCACCATACTCCCATCCCTTCTTTTCCCTGTCCTTTCGTAACACGTTTTCTATCGTTGTTGTAGTTGTAGTCATAAACTTTAGCATTTTTATCAACCCCTAACCCCCACCCACCCTTTAATGCATGTCTCATTTTTCGATACTCCAATTTAATCTTTTTTATTAACATCGTTCTTCTCGCTTCACTAATATTTTTATTTCATAAAAAAAAAGAAAAAAGTTTCGTCTTGTTTATTTCTTAACACGTTGAGCGCCACGTCAGCCATCAGTGGCTGACACTAGACTTTCCGTTTAGGCCGCGTTCGTCACGGATGACTGACACGTTCAACTATTTTTTCGATACAAAGTAACGCCTGTGGCCTGACGGGAATTTTCCTAAGAATTTACATGGCGTTCAACGTGTTAAAAAATAAATAATAATTTTATTCTCTTTTTTTTTTCTTACAAAAACGGGATTAAATATATTTTTGATTACAAATTTATAATCGTTACTGTTAATTGTTAATATATTGTTATAACACTTTTCGTTACCTAACGATCCCATATGCAGGTCTTCTATGCAAATGTCCCGTATCATGGACCTAATTTACCCTGTCTTACTTGTATAAGGGTAGGAACCATGTAACGATACTTATACATGAACGAATTTATATTTATATTACTTCATGTATATTTATTTCTATCACAACGGATCAAAATGATCCATCTTTATAAAAAAAGTCATATTATATTTATAGCAAAAAGAATTTTTTTTAACTAATCAAATATCAATCACAATATATAACTTGTAAAAAATTTCATTCAAAAAAATTGACAATCAGTCATTTGATTGGTCACGTTACGTTTAGTGTTAACAAATGTGATGAAGGTGGTCAATTATTTTCAAATCTTAATTATACTTGTAATTATTGCTGAATAATTTTTTTTTTTTTGAAATTACGTAGAACAGATAGAAAATGTGTGTATGTGTGTATGTTTGTGTTTCTTCTTTTTAATTTACTTTACTAGAAATAGAAGTAGAAAAAGAAGAAGAAGAGAGATAGAGATTTTTCTTAGGTAAAACACGTACATATATATATATGCTTGATTAATCAAAGTTCTTTTCAAATAATCACTCCCCTTCTTTCTCTCTCTCTCTCTCTCTCTCTTTTTTCTTTAGAAGTAAATGCAGCAAATCCTTTTATTTTTTTTTTTTTTTTTGTTAAAAAGGCATTCTTTCGACGATTACTACGGTACGAATAGCAACGTCAGCTTAAATGCTGTAACGAGACCAAATAAAGAGAGAAAGAGAAAGATAAAAAGAGAGAGAGAGAGAGAGAGAGAGAAAGAGAAAGTATTCGAGTGTACTCCAAAGGCTTTCGCAAGTTGGCCATCGCAATGGGGAAGGGGAAAAGAAAAAAAAGAAGAAAAAAAAAACGATGATAAATAATTTCATTTTCAATTAAGTCTGAACAACGAATAGACACTTCATTTTAGTGCACTCATCCGCAGCTTGTTTTAATTTCTCTCCTGCCCGCAACTCTACCACATTCACGTTCTCCACAATGCTCTTTCACCCCCACCCCCTCCCCTCCTCCTCTTCCTCTTACCACTCTTCCTCCAACCAACCCCTCTCCTCTTCCTAGTTCTCCTTCTCTTTTCAAATGTGTTTTCTTTCTATTTTTTCAATCTTTTTTTATTTCCCTTTTTTTTTCTTCTTTTTTCTTTTTCTTTTTTTTTTTTTTGATCATTTCATTTCATTTTTTATTATTTCTTTTTATTTCGAGCCCTTTCGAAAAGAACATTTGAAGCACGAAAAAAAAACGAATTGCGCGAAACGAATTTTCTCTCTTTTTTTTCTTTTCTTTTTTTGTTGATGGAATTCAAAAGGCTTTTTAATTCAAAGTCATTAACACGCGTGCGCGTGTTAAATTTTCATTCATTCGTTTATTCATTTTGTTCGTTAGTTCGTTCATTTATTCTATTTATTCATTTACATCATCTTTTGTTGTTGTTGTATATTATTAATATAAAATACGTTTTTAAATTATAACAATATTTTTGCTTTTTTGCTAAATGGTCGACTTAAATAAGTAATTTAATAGAGAATATAGTGCATATATATATATTATATAGGTAGCTATAAAGAAGTTCAAACGAGTGATGCATATCGATTTACGTATTATTTATAGACCGATATATGGAGTATCTATTTCTGTAACTACCTATAATTTAATCTATAAATTAGAAAAAGATACTTTAACGAGATTTTTATTTATAATGTACTGCTTCTTTATAGTTAGAGAATTTCCCCAAGAGATATCAAGTATATATATATATGTTTGTCTACCTATATGCTGCGTATGTGTATGTTTTATAGGTAAACACATACCAGTTGAAAGCAATTTAAAATAGGCCATCAAAATACGTCGATTGTTATTGGTAATAGAAAAAAAGATGCATTGAAAAAAAAAAAACTTACAAACAACAATTTTGTTTAATAACAATCACAGCACGAGCATCACTTGTACGCTTTTCAAAATTGATGTAATATAATCAGAAATTCTATTTGATCCCATATGGGATCGCAAAGATTTAAAAAAAAAACTATAAAAACATTTAGACTTATACAAAATCGATTAAAAATTATATTAACAATATTATAACATACATTTTTCAGTTTATTATATTGAAAGGGTAAATATTATAGAATCTATATACACAGTGTCGGAAAAATATGGTATATTGAAGAATATAAATTATTCGGTTAAAAATGAAAAATCAAATTGATCTTAAAAAATTGTCTAATTCTATTTAAAAAATTATACTAAATTAGGAAAATATTAAATTTACATTATATGAGTATAATTGTGTTATAATAAATATTAGAATATATAATATTTATTTATATAATATTAAAAAAATAATATAATAAAATATAATATAATATATAAATATTATATAATATTTATATAATAGACATAGATTATAAAATGAAATTTTCTGTTGAGATAATCGAAGGAAAATGAGATTATATTTTTGTCTTTTTGCAAAAGAAAATAATAAATAAATGAAAAGAAATAAAAATAAGAGAAAGATGTAGGAGAAGAAATAAAAGGTGTACGAATCTTTTATTCTCTAGGGTTTGAAAGGGGTCAAAAGAAAAATACAATTTTCGGTAATTACGATAAAACGACTCGTTTTCGGACTACTTCGGGAAGGGTCGTTCGAGTGATTAAGAGTAAGTATGTAATAAAAGTAAAGTCATGATATAAGCTAACTTATGGCGATCCTACGATTTACGAAAAACGATACCCGACGATTTTTACCCTCATCAATGATGTCAAACCGTACAGGGAGTTGTTCATTTTCTAAATAGGTTAAATGATTATCTTAGAATATTTTTTTTGGTCTTCTTTTTTTTCACTGCCACAGATTACTAATTATTATTATTATTATTACTATTGTTCGTGATTAAACTCGTACAAAAAAAGGACAATTTTTATCATCAAAAGACAAAAAAAATTAAAAACCGCACTTGTACTGATTTTATATATTTATTTATTTATAATTATTAATTTTTCCATTTACTATAATATTTGCACTATCTCTTTTTCACGATTGTCTTTAGTAGTTTTCCTATTACGAATTTTAAAATGGTGATGGGGGTGTAATACTTTATGTATGAATTATTTGCAAACGATTTTTAAATAATGGTAATATTATTTTTTTTTATTTTCTATTAATATATTTAACGAAATATGTACAAATTATTTTTTCTTTATTTTTTTTTTGTAAATAATATTTGTCTTAATATTTTTGTTTTTTATTTTCCATAATATAAAATTAAAGAAAATTGATGATACCCTACGGTGTACTTTAAAAGAAAAATAATTTTTTTCATTTCTAAATTGATTTTTATTCGCGTTAGTGTTTGCTATACGTTATAAAAGATAATAAGAGAATTTTTCTTTATTAGATTAGGTTTTCTTTGTTGTTGGTGGTGTTGTATTGCTTTGGTTAGTATGATAAATTCGATCGTAGTAAAGTAATCGAATGAAATAACTTGAAATAGAATGAAACGATTTTTCCTCGTTCTAAATCGTCGACGTTTTGGGAATAGTTGGTAGGAAAAGAAGCATAACAGCACAGTAGAACCAGAACCAGAACCAGTACCAGTACTAATACCAATACCAGTACCAGCAACCGGTTAGCAAAATCCCGTCGTAAAATTAAATCGACGCGGAACCATCGGTTCTGTTGGTGCCGATGGGTAATAGAAAAACGTACGTACCAACCAACCAAAAAAGGTTTCCTCGTTGTTTTGCAATTTTTTTGTTTTACTCTTTTTCTTTTCGGAGGGACGCGGAGTATTTTTTTTATTCAACTAAATTAAAGGGGAAGAGTTTAAGCGTAACTGTTGAAACAAAGCGTAGAATTTTGGTTTTCTATCGAATACATAGAATAAAAAAAGATGTATTCTCTTTAAAATAGAAAAGAATGTAGTTTCAAGCTAATGGATACAATGAAAAGCGTTCAATATTTTTTCTATAATGTTTTCATTTTTATTTTTTAAAAACGCAAAAATGTGTTTCAACGTGAAACGTATGATATGAAAACAGAATTGGTTGTATTCGGTGTTTCGACATGTTATTTTGGAAAAAAAAAATTATTATTACACGGAACAAAAATATATCGGATAATGAAAAAAATAAATAAAAAATAAAAAAAATAATACACTTGGAACTCATATTGTTCTAAAATTTGTTGTAAGATTCTGATAGGACGAAATAAAATAAAAAATAAAATAAAATAAAACCATATAATGTTGACAGGATTAAAGCACATAGAAAAAGTTCAACGTTCGTTGATAAGATTTTATAATACTCGATAATAAAAAAAAAATAAAAATAAAAAAAAGAAAAGAAAAAATCAATAAGAGAAATATAATTCTAATACATCTTGAAATGAATTGAAA